TACATGTATATATACACACACACACACACACACACACACACACACACACACACACACACACACACGTGTATATATATATATATATGTATATGTATATGTATATGTATATGTATATGTATATGTATATGTATATGTATATATATATATGTATATGTATATGTATATGCATACATGTATATACACATGTATGCATGCATGTGTATTTGTGTATATATACATATATATACACATGCATACATACATATATACATGCTTATGCATTTGTATATAGATACAATTTTTCTTCTTCTTCTTCTTCTTCTTCTTCTTCTTCTTCACTGATTTAATCTTGATTTTTGATAATAGGTTGGTCGTCTCAGTCAAAATGATGAACAAATAACTGAGAACGTTCAGAAAGCTGTGTGGAAGATGATGCACCGGATCCCAGGAGGCTGGGACAATATTCAAACTCTTTCCCTGAAGGGTCTTAAGACAAAATCTGTGCCACTCTATGTTAAGACCAGTAAGTACAGTTTGAGGCATGGCATCCCTTTCTTTTGAGGGGGGGGGGCTTTTTGTTATTCATTTTTAATTTATGTGATATAGATATATTGAGCTTAGTGCATTGGCAATTAGTATCCCAGAAATTAGTTATGTGTTTCAGATATTCACATTTATAAAATTGTTGCAGAGACTTTTATTGCTACTAAAAAAAATTATCAGGGTTTATTGATGTTTTTGAACTGTGTGATGTCTACTGTATAAATAAAATCACTTGGATCTGTGACATCTTCAAATCAGAAAAGGAGTTCACCAAATACTATTATGCCTTTACTATACTAAATCATTTATTTTATTTTGACATAGCAACCTTTGATGAGAAGATCAAACTGCCAGAGAAGGAATGTGAACCGACTGCTGTAGGTACATTAACTACACTCAACAAAAGAAAGCTTGTTTACGTCCAGAAAAATGGCAATGTTAAGATCAAGTTGAAATGCTAACCATGTGTAGAGAAGAAAAGGTAAGAGAGGGTCTTTGTATTGTGTTTGCACAGAGGTAAACTTATGTATGGGGGGGTGAAATATATATATATATAGATATATTGAAAATTTTCAGAAAGTTGAATATTATCCACAATTTTAATTTAGAGTCTACCATATATGCCTCTTTATTTGCAGGCTTGTATTTGTCTTTATGTTCATTTGTAGGTCACATTATTTCTGCTCTTGCAACGCCCTGCATTTCTTCACCTCCACAGTCTTTGTCTTATTCTAATTCTGGTTGTTATTCTTATATGTCTCATTCTTTTTCTAGGAATATTTTGTATTTAAATATGTATCTACTCTTACAGGTTGAAGAAACTGAAGGCAGTTGCCAAAATGACTATTAAGAAGAAACAAGAGGAAGATACAGAATATATACAAGAAAAAAATAGTAATATATCCTATTGGTGAAACTGTGGGCCAATTGTATGTTTTTTTTTTGTTTTTGTTTTTTACAGGATTAGGGATACTCTTGTAAAAGTATTAATAATCATAAGGAATTTGTTTTATCATTATCAATGTTCATAAAGCATATTACTTTAGTCTTCACTGATTTACTAAGCTTTTTCTGTTTGTGGGCATTCAGGTTAACGACAATTGTTAAAGAATATAGTACAGAATATAGTACATGGTATAGAGTTTGGGTCAGTTATTCTTCCCATTGTTAATTTTTGTTGTTTGGATTCTATAATTGTTTTGAATATGATGTACACATGAGTGGCAGAAGCTCTATAGTTTTTCTTTTTTATTTGCAAATTGAAGTAGCAGTGTAATATCCTCCTTTAAAGTGACCAGTACCGGAAAATCTACTTGCTCTTGTTATATCATCATGAGTCCATCAAGTAATGATGTTATGTGCTTGGTTTACACCTTAACATGGACTTTGAAACAAATGTAAAATATGATAGTTTAATAAATATCAATTTATTTACCTGATTTTTCTTCATTTGTCATATGCATATATAAAATTATACCAAAAAAAGAAGTACAGTAAGTCCCCAACTTAAGAACATAATGGGGACCGAGAGGCTGTTTGTAAGTTGATTTGTTTGTATGTCGAAAGACGGGTCTCCATTACCTTTTTTCCCAATGTTTTAAAGTTTTGTTTACATTAAGAATACCTG